TTAAAAATTACAATCTTACGGTTCCAATTTTACTAAGTAATAGTATAATGTTTAAACATTGTATTTCATCATTGAATTGTGTAACAGGACGTCGGTAAAATGTTGTGACCCGTAAATATTTTAGTAATATTTTATAAAGTTTTTTTGACTAAATTTGGTGAAAAATTATATACAATAAACAATTTAGTCAAAATTTTAAGTTCATTTTTAATGAAGAATTTGAATGCTAGTATATTACTGTTAAAAACTTTTAACAATAGTCAATATAAATTATATAAATAAAATATATATTATTCTTGATTTATTCCACATACATTTAAAACACGAGTACATATATGTATACATAATTTTCATAAATAAAATAATATCAAGGATAGAAAACCCAAAAACAATAATAATGGTACTTTGGGCCGCAGTAATTTTTAGTTTAATAAGTAAGACCATTAGATTTGTAGGCTATCCTTGTTTCTAATCATCTTAATTTTAAATACTTACTATTCATGTTTCCAAACACTTAATTTTTATACTTCAGCTTTAATAGTATAGATGGTAACGCGGAAAGAAAGAAAAAGGTAATGCAATATGTTCGGATGTTCAACCAAACGAGAGCAAGATGCATACCATTTGATATGTAGCTATGTGCATACCAAATTTAGGTATAATATCTCAAGATGGATTTTTATCAAATAATTTGTAAAAAAGACATGTTCACTTTCGGTCTAAATCAGTCAAAAGTCCAAACTACGGAGTTCTTCTAAGCATGAGCCTTTTTCCGTTTAAATATAGGCATGTACATTGCACGTTGGTTCAAACAAATCTTCGGCTAGAGTGTTAGTATAATTTTTGAATTAATGGTTTCTATCTAGAGGAAATGCAACATTTAGAGTCCATCGATCAAACAACCTAAACCCATCGCAAAGAGAACCAAAGTTAACAAGACAACAATACAGCTTTGAATACTATATTTTTCTATGTCTATTTTCTCTAACAGGTGGTTGCACCCAAAAGAATATTTAACAGAATCTAGACAATAAATCAGATCAATAGGTAGAAAATCTGATCTATGGAATTGAGGTGGGAAATCTGATCACTATATGTTTTATTTTGGTACATTTCATAAAAGAACAAATCATCACTTTCAGTAACGTTATAGGTTTTTGTCTGAAACAGCTAGGGAAACAATTATGGAGCACACAATAAACATAATATATCTATTTTGTTTTTTTTGGGAACACAATATATATTTTGTTTATTATTACAAATATCGTTGATAATTATAAAACTAAAGATAAGATAGATCTCAATATGTGTATATGGAAAAATGAAAGCTATGAACCACGTCATTACAAATGAAAACTCGACAGAGGGGCAATGTCCTTTGGCAGTGGAGGGACCATTCTCCATTCTTGATATTTTCTTCCGTTTCACTCATTTCAAAATTACAAAATATTAATCTTATGTAGTTCCGTATGAAAGCCTTTAAAAAACTTATGTGGGTCCGTGAATGTAATTGCTGCAAAAGAAAAAAAATCAAATATGTAAGATGTATAGTAGGCACAGTCATAGACTCCAAGTACCGCGTAGCTCACTAAAGAAAGGTTAATTATACGTAAATGTATTATTAAGCTCTTTTCTAGTATTTGATAAGCTACAGTATCCTATAAGTGCTTAGCGCTTGAGTGAATCGTTCACACACACCAAACTATAGTGTAAACAACACATGGCAGTAAACTACACCTGGTGTTGGTATAGAGTATAAACTGTATTAGTAAGCATCATCCCAAATATATTTATTAGATGATTAACCTGCACATGCAGACTTAATATTCTTATAAATATTTTCTAATTTACCTTTTATTAATTAAGATAAGTTATTATTTATATTTTTAAGAAGTTTAAATCAAACATCAAATTATTTATACATGATAAAAAATTTATTAAAATAGATATAGTTTTTTAAAAATACTCCAAATTTTTTGATTGATTAATATTTAATTATATATATATATATCATATCTTTTATAAATAGAAATATATTATTCAAATAAAAAAAATTATAAGAACTATCTTGTTTTATAGAAATAGAAATATAAATATTATTTCAAGATAACAAGACAATATATAAGAATTATTTTATTGTTTCAAAATCCCATATTATTAATATAAATTGCATATTTAGTTAAATAATAAATTATATACAAAATACTAGTTATGGTGTTTTTTTTAACAACACTCACATATGTTTTGATTGATTAATGTTTAATTATATATTTTTATATATTAATTTTTTACTATAGAAAATTATTATTTCAAAATAAAAACACAATATATAAGAATTATCTTATTTTATAGAGATATTAAATATTATTTCAATATATCAACAAATATATAAGAATTATATTCCTTTTAAAAATCTAATATTATTAATATAATTTTCGTATCCAATAAAATGTATATAAAATTGTATTAAGGGTATCATTAATTTTGACCGTGTAATTTTTAATGTGAAACCTCATATACCAAAAAAAACACTTCGTAAATAATAGTATAGCTTAGTTTGTGTATAAAATTAAAACTTCAAAATATCAATTAGAGCATCTCCAATAAAAGATTATTAGTGAGTTTTCTAAAATTTAAAAGATAAAATATAAAAGTAGAAAATGGTTTCAAATGAGCATCCATGAGATACTATGAATACGTTTTTATCTTCTAGTTAATTTTCATTATTTTCAAATTTAACAAAATATTTAAATGTTATTTGGATACTATATTTCAATGGATAGAACAATGAAATATTATCCCAACAAGATTGCTCATAGCAAGCTGTGTTAGGTACGGACGTTAGGTGTTTTGTTTGGAGTAATTTTTGAGTTCATCCCTATGGTAAACTTCTAGATTTATCAACCAAGAAAATTACGTTATTTTATATTTAATATTATTTAAAAAATGAAATAAAATATTCTCGAGTTATATTATATTTTTAAATTTGAAAGATAAAAATAAACAAAAAATAATAGTAGTTACGAAAAAGAAACTATTATCAAAACACTAAACCCTAAACTTTAAAACCCTTTCATCCTAACTCTTGGATAAATCTTTAACTTTTTTAAAAAAACATTTTTAATACTGTAAATAAAATATTAAACCCTAAACCATTGGATAAACTGTAAACCTTTGGACTAATCATAAATCCAAGGGTTGAGGATTTACCCAATGGTTCAAGGTTTAGGATTTATGGTTTATGGTTTTGCTGACAGTATTTAGTTTTTTATTTGTAACTACTATTATTTTTATTTATTTTTATCTATTTTTATCTTTTAACTTTTAAAACATAATATAACTCGATAATATTTTGTTTCATTTTCTAAAAGATTAGGTGTTTTACCCGCATATGAAGGCTTAATAGTTATACAACTATTTATAAATATAAAATATCAATTCAAATATTATAAAATAATTTTTTGTTCATACATTTAAAATATTTAATAATAAATTAAATGAAAGAATCTTTATATATACAAAGTCTCTGATCATACATAAATATTTTGTATTAAAATACATTTTTGGATAGTAATATATATATCAGTTCTAAATTACTTATGTAATCAAATAAATTTTAATTTCATCTTTATTTTTGGCTAACTTTTAGTTTATTAATTTTTAATCAATAATCTAATCTAATAAATAAATCCAACTATTCATTAAGAAAGATATAAAACAATTATCATATTGTTACAATATTATTTCCAGATAAAAATACAATATATAAGAATTATCTTATTTAAAAAAAACAAATTATTTTTGGTAATTATATTATACTAATTTGTAATTATATAATAAAACATATAAATCTAATATTATTATATCAAATTTGTTTTTAGTTATTTCATAAATTATATAGACATATTTTGTTTTAACTTTTAACGTGAGAGCTTTGTTGCAAAAAATCACTTCACAAATAATAGTATAGATACCAAATATGAAATAATAAATTCTATTGGTTAGTGAATCTAGAGGTTCACCAATATATGAAATTATATTCATAAATTTGGGTTTGGTTCCGGTTGATTTAGATTTCGATATTATATTCATAAATTTCATTCGATGATATCGGGATCGAATTTGGTATTGTTCCTTCTAGATCTAGTACAAATAGGATTTTATAACCAATATATGAAATTAGTCCAAAAAAACTAATGGAATTAATTAAATACTCAAATAAATTATTTTAATAATAATTTAAATTAGTTAGGCTACTTAAACTAACTGAAGGTATTCGAAATAACAAAATATCAGTTTATAAAATATATATAATATTTAAATTACCTTTATATATATATATATATATAAATAAAGTTAATTATATTAATATTTTTGGAGCATAGTTCAGATTGTACCAGACAAAAATACTTATTTGTTAGTCCCTGTTCAAATATTTTTTTTTAACTGATCAGATCGAATTTCAGTTTTTAAGTTTATATCTAATTCAAATTTCTGATTTGGTTAAAAATGTTCAGATTTACTGTGTAATATTTATAAGTTTTTAGACACTGTTCGAATATTTTTTTAACTGATCAGATCGGATTTCAGTTTTTCAGTTTATATTTTGATTCAAATTTCTGATTTGGTTAAAAATGTCCATATCTACTGTGTATTGTGTAATGTTTACAGGACCGAATAAAAAACAGTATAACTCAAATACACGTAACAAAAGGAACGTAGAACTGTGTCTGAAGTTGTGATAAACTATATAATCTATTTCTCTGAAGTTTTTATAAACAAGAAAACTTGTTAGTTTTTGTTGCATCCTTGTTCAAATACATGTAGACTGAAAACGAAATCTACAATGTTAGTCTTATAAATGATCATCCGTATAATGTAATGTGAATAACAATTATGTTAACGAGAAAATGAAAAGGATACCTCAGCATCAAGATACACACTTGAGAAGAATCCAACGGTCGAAAATAATTTTTGATAAGAAAACCAAAAACTAAAAAAGAAGAAGCAAACGACTATATATACACATAGGCATCCCATTCCTCACTCAGAAAAGACCATTCTACTTCTATAAAAAGTGAGAGAGAGTGAGAGCCTCACATAAATAATTGAAAGTTCTCTTAGTAAAATCATCTCAAAAGAAATAGTTTTAGTAACCAATAATTCACTTTGTTTCTCAAGGTCACCCATCATCATCAACAACTGACTACACGTTGATTGACTAAGAGGAGAAAGCTCGACCAGAGTGAAGTGATACGTGGTGAGATCTGACTGGTTCGTTGGAGATAATATGGTGAGAACGACGTGGTTCGACGATGATGGGATGAAGAAGGGAGAGTGGACGGTGGAGGAAGACCGGATGCTCGTGGCTTACATCAACGAATACGGTCTCGGTGACTGGCGTACCTTGCCTAAGAGAGCCGGTATAAATCTATACTTACACTCTATATTACTATATATGCATATATGCCTACATTGTGTACGGTGTTTGTGTCTCTTTCAAAGCTAAGGATCTTTAGATTCCAGTTTCTGTCGGACCAAAGATCTTGTTTTTGAGCACATGTTTTGTTTTTTGTAATGATCATGTACAGTGTTCCATCGTCTGAAGAGATTTATTAATAGAAGTTCATATAAGAATTTTAAAGTTTTTTAAAAGATCTTTATGTGCATAGTATTAGACCATTACACATAAACATATGTTTTTAAACCATTACAGCTTTATGTTGTAGATGATAATTATTATATATTTAGCGCCTTCTGCCAGATTCTATGGATATGATGATATAATCCATAAGTATTTTCCTGATTACTTTTAATCATGACTTATTATTATATTCAGTTTTCTAAAGTGTAAAGTTATGGACGTGAAAATTAATTGTATTTTAATTTTAGATCCAAAATCAGAAAGTTTATGTGATTGTGTGTTTCTCCTCTTTTTGTCTGATGGAAAAAGGTTTACATACTGTTCAATATTTTGTTTTCCTTCTTACCAAAAAAAAAAAAAATTGTTTTCCTTTTAACTTCTTTGTTTGCCACTATGTTAAAGTAATCATTTCATCTGATTTTTTTTTTTATATTCCCTTTTTTCTTATAAATGGAAAAAGGTCTTCAGAGATGTGGAAAGAGTTGTAGATTAAGGTGGCTGAATTATCTAAGGCCTGGAATTAAAAGAGGCAAGTTCACTCCTCAGGAGGAAGAAGACATCATCAAATTTCATTCCCTTCTTGGAAACAGGTAATTTAATGTGTGATTAAATGCCAACCAACCCCACCACCTTGTCTTTTAGTGTTTTTTAAAATCAATTATATTATGATTACATAATTAAATTAATGATTATGCATGATTACATTAGGTGGGCAGCAATAGCAAAGCAAATGCCAAACCGAACAGACAATGACATAAAGAACCATTGGAACTCATGTCTGAAGAAAAGACTCGTTAGAAACGGAATCGATCCTATCACCCATAAGCCTATCGTCAAAGCCACTCTCTCCTCCTCAACGACGTCGTCTCCAACACTAACCCCTTCTTCGTCGTCTCCAACACTGACCCCTTCCTCGTCGTCTTCTTCTACTTCCCCTTTTTCCACCACAGGCTCTGCACGTCTACTTAACAAACTTGCTGCTGGAATCTCTTCGAGAAAACATGGACTCGATAGGATCAAGAATGTGATCTTGTCGGAACCAAGACAAGCCGTTGAAGAAAATGAGATGATGATGATAAGCAGCAAAGAAAAGGAGGAGGAGGAAGTGATTGGTTGTTCAATGGAGATTGATGAGAATCTTATCAGTACGACTTCGTTTGATGAGTACTTAACGTGTGACTTTACTACTACAGCTACGACTAGCTTCGGGGCTGCTTTTGATGACTACTCGTTAGTTGAGCCATACGATCTATACCAATCTGATTTCTATCATGAGATTAGTGATGATCAACTTGACATGTTCCTACTTTAATTTGAAGTTCACTCTCTTGATGTATTATTTTCTTTGTATCCGTTGTTAGTTCAGTGTGACGAAAGAGAGTGAGATTCCGAAAAAAAGGCAAGTGCTCACTACTAAAAATGACATGTATGGTCAATGTTGCTGAGTTTTGACATGTTAACTTTTTTAGTTCGATTACCCTCTCTCTCTATCTCTTACACTTACACATTACACATGCTTATTATCATGAGCCCTACACCTACATACACATTTAGGATGTCACGCCATTCCAGTGAAACACTGACCATCGAGTACTATATTGCCATAGGTATTGTCATAATTTTCACAACGGTGTGTAGTTGAAACTTGGTTTTTATGTGTTAAAGATTCCAACAACATATTAAAAATTAATAATAATAATATCATGTGATTTTTATGAAAAATAATATCATGTGATTTTAAGCTAATTTGAAACTATTTAAAATTAAATTTAGTAGGTTGAACATTTATCTTAAGATTCTGTTATTATCGATATATTATGACATACATATAAATAGAAAAATATATATCCTTATACTCATTTTTTTTTGCTAGATAACCATTAAGAACAGAAATAAAAGACTAAAATACTTAAAACAGTTTCTAAAATAACAAAAGAATTAAGGTCCGATTTGAAAGAAAACTAATCCTTTTGATCTTTGCTTTTCTTTACTAAGTCTACATATTTTTCTTAGACCTAACTGAAATTATTATCTTATTAGATATTGTAGAATCTCAATTATTTTCTGGTGGTTGGCGTGCTATAGTATCCTATTTAATAATCGAAAGTTCAAGATTATTTTTCGTTGCCAAATTTCAAGATTTTTGAGTCACGAAAGTAAATGATAATTGTTTGATTGGGACTGACGGCTCTAAACACAAAATAGTTGTGGTTAGAAGAGGACATGTGCTTTGCTTATTGATCACACAAATTGCTGTATTTTTGTCTTTAATAACCAATCATCTGTAAGGAAATTGTTTTGTTAGTACTTGAACATAATTTCCAGTTATATATAACATGCCAATTGTGGGACGATCTTTCTAACGCAGTTAGCGATTTTTACATCGTGGGACTATCTTCCGCGTCGCTGGTCCATAACCCTATTTTCGACTATCTAGTTATTATACTTTTTCCAGGTTTAAATTTTTTTTGTGGAGTTACAGTATATAATTCTTACATTGAATTATGTCTGCATCCTCGACAATAAAGAGAGAAACAAGGGCAACAGTGCGTGGACTTCAATTCACAATGTACTATGTTTCTTCAAACATTTAAACATGGACATGTAGACACATTTAAATAGAATTTGGAGTAAAAATATTTCAATGATATTTTATTTTTATATTATGATATAATAAAACTTGGTTTATTCAATATATAGAATAGTAAAGTTATTTAAAATAAAGTATCATTGGAATAAAATAAAGTTTTATTATAAATACTCTATCTTTTTAAAAAGTAAGGTGGATAATTGGAGATGGTCTCACTCGTAGAAATACATGTAGCTGTAATAGGAAAATTTAGAGCATCTTCATGGATATTATTTTTACCTGAGAGTCTCTTCAAATAAAAATTAAATTAATAAATAATGGACGAAAATAACAAAAATAAGATTTTCATCATTTTTAAAAAACTGATATGCCGCTTGTCATTGTCTCAACAACACATTTTATTCTAAAATTTAAAATTTAGTCACTCAATTAAGTTTCAGTTTGTAAATGTTCATGTAAAAATAAAATAAACATAGTTTTCAATTGAATAACAATTAATCTAAATGATTTATTTCTTCAATCTAGATAAAGTTATTATTTCGTTTGGATAAATGTAATAATTATTTTATTAATTCCATTAAAAGATAAAATATGCTTTACTATAATTTTGACTGATAATGAATATAATTAAATTCTTTCATTTTTCTTTGAGAAATGATCTAAGATAATTTCTTTCAATTTATTTTTCAAAAAGAACATTCCAGATAAAAATAATCAATTTTTTTTATTGAAAGACAAATATATTTTTATACCTCTAAAATCAACTAACCTACAATTTTTGTTTAAAGTTAAAAGATGGACTTTGGAGGGGGAGGAGAGTGTAAATTTAAAATATTCAAAAAATAAATATTAAAAATTTTACAATAAAAATTTATAAAAATATTTTTAAAAAGCAATTTCGAATTTCAAAAATAAAAATAAATATTTTTTTTACAAAAAAAAAAATTATGTAAAAAATGTGAATCAGAAAACAGATAATCGGAAAATATTAAAAATTTATATGTTTTTATATGTAATTTTATATTTATTTATATATTTTATAAAGTAATTGGCACGGAAATTTTTTTATCTTTTTAATAAAACTCTTTTGATCATTTTTTTAGTTGAGTACTATTTTTGTGATAAAAATTAAAAATATAATTTGAAATAATTGTTCCTTTTCAAGTTATTGTATTTATTCTTCTTCTGTCATTTCTTTATGATTATCATTTACAGTAATGTTTACCTAATATAGATGATGTGACATGTAATGTGAAGAAGAAAAAGTGAATCAAAATTATACACGAGAAAAATAATAATTTCTTCTTCTTTGCTTCCTCTACCTACTGTGGGGTAAATATCTCTGGTTCACACATCCTTTTATCAGTTTTTGGTCCCTTAATATTTTTGTTATATGTAAGCCCAATAATGTTTGTTTCTTAGAATTCTTATCGATTTTACTTTGTAACTTTTTCCTTTTGTTGCTGATGGGCAGAGGAATCAACAGTAAGATCAAAGCTATACGTCTCTTCTTACTATTCGGACAGTCACGGTTCTGGACCTCTGGTGTTGCGATTTTATTCCGATTTTTGTTTCTTCTCAAATGTCTCGTGACACTTTATCGACGTGGAAGATTCGCTTATCTGTATAGTCATGTCCACAAATCTTTTAAACGAGCTCATACAGTGACTTACATAATTAGTTAATGGGCTTGGGCCTCATGAGTTTACACATAATTTGCTTTCTTTAACAACCATTTTTTGAATCACACTCACTCTATCAAGTACCTATGAGAGCTTAGGTGAGCTTCTTCTTCTTCTGCTTCTCCTCTCTCCATTCCTTGATATCATTCTCTATCTTGCAGTCAACACGTGCTTTGAATCCAGGGTATGGCTCGTATCCAAAACCAGACTGCATCACCTACATTTCTCCTCATTCAATCCCATTGTCTTAGCTTTCACGAAAAACATGAAAGAAGGAAGAGAAAGGTGAAGAAAAAACATTCAAACCTCGAGCAACACGAAGTAAGGACCCATCAGAAAAGCTTGGACTAGATTGTCTAGAAGCGCAGGAGCTCGTTTCTGTAGAACATTATTAAGACCTTTTTAGTTAAAGTTCTGCCAAGGAGAATCAAATAAGTAAATTATTTTTGAAGAACAAATGTAAATTTGTACCTCAAACAAACCGTGACCTAGGAACTGACCGGTCCAGCATAAGAGCTGAGAAGCTACCCCAACCTGAGAAAGAGAGTTAGAGATTATAAATATAAATAAGAGAATCTTGAAGTTGACCAGATAGTGATGATTCTTGAACTCATCAAACATTAAAACACACATAAATTCCAAGAAATATGAAATCTTATCCATACCAATAACTTAGATGAAGAGCAGGTACCTTGAAGGTCAAGGAATGTCCTAGACGAGCTGCGAGAAAGCTGGAGCCGATCCAGCAAGAGAAACATAACAGAGCAGCTAAAACTCAAGACCTCTTATCCAAACATATGTAGAAGACAGCATAGATCACAGTGAGGATAAAACCAATGTCCAAGCGCAAGACACCGTCAAAAGTCAACGCTTCGATGAAACCTAGTTGAGAGCGATCTAGAAACGGTTGCGTGGAGTAGAGGAAAAGGAGGGTCGCGAAGACGTTAGGCCATACGAATAGTGTGTGGATGATTATGTTTACGTGGTTGCTGTGGTAAGCTCCGTAGAAGGCGAAATGCTTCTCCAGATCGAGTAATCCGTTACGGTTGCTCATCACTTTTTTAGTTTCTGACAACTTTTTATGTTATTGTCGGAAGAGAAAACAGGGCAGTAAGAAGAAAAGAGAAGACTTTTTGCGAAAGTATGCTAACCTGCGCTCATAAGGTTGCTAATATGCGCTCTTAAAATGATCGTCGTTGACCAAGTAATAGGCACAGCGGTTGCGTTCTTGAACGTAGAGTTATTGAGGTCATTTTTGTACTTTTAGTAGTGGAGTGATTTGATGTTATAGAAGTCAACCGCTACAAGTTGTTGGGTAAAATGTTGGTAATCACAGTGGGGACTAACTTCAATGAAACCATGAGATGCGATTCTATAGGAATTGGCATTCCCAAACTCACCTCTAACACTTATCATGTTGTTTTAACATTTAACTGTAGCTTTAGTGAATCATAATAAGCAAAACTAGAACCAAAGTAGACGACGAAAGTAGGTACAAGTGCCGTCTCCACATCCCATCAACTTAATAGTCTTTTTCATTATGAACCTATGATATAATAACAGATGCGAAAAATGTATGGAGTTTGTGATGTGTGAACCCATTGATGGGTCATGCAGCTATCTACTTCAAGATAGCGTGACCGTTGCCTTCCAAATCATGGACCACATCCTTCAATCTCGGTCTCTTATTAGTTATTAGTAAATGTTTTTATATTTCAACAAATCTTTCAGGTAGACGACGTACCAAATCTTTTAAAAGAATTCTTATACTCGTGTAAGTACAGTTGAGTTTGATATTTATAAGTTTGGTTTGAATGGACATGCAATAATGTTAAAATGGTTTCTATATTTGGTTTTCTTTTAAAAAAAATTGTGGTTACAATTAGACACTGATGATATATATGTATCTGATTATGTTCTTTTTTCTTTGGCACGATATATGTATCTAATTATGTTCTAAATATGTGATTTGTGTTAAGTGGTTGACATATTTGGGTTCGGAACATGTCAGTTCGAAATCTAAAACTTAAATACTGCAATTTATTTGATCAGCGCGAACTACGCGAAATGCACGAACTCTATCGGTTCTTGACAACTTATTACATATTTCAAGAAATAGTCAAAAACTTAAAAGAGGAGTTTGTCTGTCATTTCCTATATTTCTTTATTGTTAATCAAATTCCTTCGTTTCAGGTCTCTTGAAACTTGAAACCACACGTGCTATACTTTCAAAGTTTTAGTAGTATTTCACAATTCACTAATTTTTCTATTGTTTCCAGATATTGAGGATTTTACAGAATAGACAGAAGAATATTTGGTATCATATATTAAGCGTATTACCAAATTATTTGAGTATAACTAATGTAGTGTGCATCTTACGTCTTGCATTAATCAAATTCAAAAAACCATCATACAAAACTTAAAACAAAACAAAAGATTTTTTCATTTTAGAACACACTTACAAAATCAAATCAAGATTTGTTTAACCAGTTCAATTATGGTTCTTAACATAGTATTAATGATTTTGATTATTTCTCAAGTAAAGCAAAAAGAAATAACATTAACACGAAAGCAAATCGAACTAGTTGCAAGAATCGAATCAAACGGGGGCCAAGTCGTCTCCCTCTCTCCAAGACGCGCCAACTAAGCATGAGCTGTTATCTTGACGTCGTCTCCGTCACACTTCCCCAACTCACATTCCGCCACGTGGCCTCCCTTATTACATCCTTCACGTGCTGTCATGTCTTAAACCCATATGTCTGCGCAGGTACTCAATCCAACGGCTCAGATTTAAGTTTTATCACCCCATGAAAGATTGTATTAATAAATATTCCCTATTTGACGTGTTACTTACGTGTTTAAGACGAGTTCACAATACAAAAAAGAAATTTACAAAAATAGACAAAAAAGATATCTTTCGTTGGAACGTGAAATAAATAGAACTAATTAAAAATATTAACTCCTAAAAATAAAAAAAGAATCCAAATTTAACCCAGAAAATAATAATACTCTATAACCAATATAAAAAGCCCTTTGCTTTCCCATTAGGGTTCTTTATCTTCTCCATCATCACCACTCTCTCCTTTCCTCCAAATCAAGAAAAAAAAAAAAAGATTTGATTTTTATTCCCAATCACATGCCAATCTTCTAATCACCAAATCTCACATTTTTTTTCATCAGAAGATGCCAGCAACGGACTACCAAAGATCATTCGGTCGATCCTTACTAAACCTCCGCCGCGACTCGGTCCACTCGGTCTCCGAATCGTCGTCCACCGAGTCAACTCACATGGAGACCGAGTTGGACTCGTTCCAGAGAAAAGTCTCCGAGAGGTTCGCCTCTCTCAACGCCTCAACCTCAGAGGATCTCCTCTCCCTAGAATGGGTCGAGAAGCTCCTCGACTCGTTCCTCTCGTGCCAGGAAGAGTTCCGCGCCATCATCGTCTCGAACCACCGCACGGCGAAGCCTCCGACGGATCGTCTCATCGCCGAGTATTTCGACAGGAGCGTCAAGGCCCTCGACGTCTGCAACGCGGTGCGCGACGGCGTGGAGCGGATCCGACAGTGGAGGAAGCTGATCGAGATCGTGCTGTGCGCTTTCGACAAGACAAGACCTGTCGGAGAAGGTCAGTTCCGTCGCGCGAAGAGGACGCTCGTGGAGCTAGCGATCGGGATGTTGGACGACAAGGAGGCTTCTTCGAGCTCTGTAGCGTCGCAGCATCGTAACCGTTCGTTTGGTCGGAACAAGGAGCATTCGCAGCATCGTAACAAGTCGTTCGGGCATTTCAGGTCGTTGTCGTGGTCTGTGTCGAGGTCTTGGTCGGCTTCGAAGCAGTTGCAGGCGATAGGGAACGGTTTGGCTCCTCCCAAGGCCGGGGATGTGACAGCGACGGGTGGTTTGGCGGTTACGGTTTATACGATGACTTCGGTTTTGTTGTTTGTGATGTGGGCCCTAGTGGCGGCGATCCCTTGTCAGGATAGAGGGTTGCAAGTGCATTTCAATGTGCCGAGGAGTTTTATGTGGGGAGGGGCTTTGATGTCTTTGCACGATAGGATTGTGGAGGAGTCGAGGAAGAGGGAGAGGAGGAATAGTTGTGGGTTGTTGAAGGAGATTTATCAGATTGAGAGGAGTTCGAGGTTGATGGGTGAGTTGGTTGATTCTGTTCAGTTTCCTTTGTCGGAGGAGAAGGAGGTTCAGGTGAGGGAGAGGGTTGAGGAGTTGGGCAAGGTTCAAGAAGCTTTGAAGAATGGTTTGGATCCGTTTGAGAGGAAAGTGAGAGATGTGTTTCATCGGATTGTGAGAAGTAGAACAGAGGGGCTTGAGTCTGTTGGAAACGTATCATAGATGAGGATCGATCAATGATGTTTTTGTTAATTTCATGAACGTAAAGGAACAGTTTTTTTTTTCAATCTTTGTTACCATTACTTATTTGTAACTTTTGTAACAAAGATTTTGTTATGTGTGCACATCGTTTAATTTTAAAAAAAAAGTTGAATTACAATACAAAATTACAGTTGGTTTAACAACAAGAGAAGGCTCTTTGAATATAAAACTTTCATTAACTTTGAACAACTGGTACAGAGTGTTAAATCTAAAGCATAGAATGATCTTGGAGATTGAATGTTCCAGCTTGTCTCTCCTTATTAACAATGAGCAACCTGCATCCATTGCAAGTTTAAAAATTAAACAAAGAGGCCCTTTATAAAATCAAGAAAGCTGATTACATTGGCTAAACTCTTGGAGCTAAAACTTAATGTTGGGCAACAACAAAAAATCCTTTCACTCAATCATTAGGCTTAATATAACGGATACAAAACGAAAAGAGAATGTGCCTCAGAGGTAGTGACAATTGTGATTATATTCATCACTATATAAATCTGATGAAAACACATCAATACATCACCGGCACAATTAACAATCATCACTAAAATAATTCATACGAAAAAACTTTGGTAAGCGCATCAGAGAAATTCCCATTTAGACAATAATCATCATTCTATTTCTCCTTAAGGAGAATCTGATGTCCCTGTCTTTTTATCGTCACTTGCACACGACCATCACAAATTACTAGAGCAGCAAACAAGTAAAAGCGGTTCATCTATAATTTATGAAAACAATAAAACTAATCCTTATGCAATCCTATAAAAATCTGATGAAGATATTCATTATTGGCACAATTAACAATCATTATAAAAAAACAAAGCTTCATATGAACAAACTTATGGTTTTGGTAAGTGCATCAGAGAGATTCCCATTTAGACAATAATCATCATTCTACTTCTCCCTAAGGAAAATCTGATGTCCCTGTCTTTTTATCGTCACTTGCACACAACCATCACCAATTACTTAAGCACCAAACAAGTAAGAGCAGATTATACAACTAAAATTAATGCAAACAAGAAAACTAGTTTTATGCAACCCTATAAAAATCTGATGAAAACACATCAATAGATATACATCACCGGCACAAATAACAATCATAACTATAATCAAAGCTTCATATGAACAAACTTATGGTTTTGGTAAGTGCATCAGAGAGATTCCCATTTAGACAATAATCATCATTCTACTTCTCCCTAAGGAAAATCTGATGTCCCTGTCTTTTTATCGTCACTTGCACACGACCATCACAAATTACTAAAGCACCGAACAAGTAGGAACAGATTGTGCAACAAAAAAATTATGCAAACAAGAAAATTAGTCTCTAATGCAAACTTAAGCTAACGCATAGAAAAGCAATTTATCATGAAAGAAGTAAAAAGATTAGAGAATGCCTCAGAACTGTTTCATTTTAGGGGTAAGTGCATCAGAGAGATTCCCATTTAGACAATAATCATCATTCTACTTCTCCCTAAGGAGAATCTGATGTCCCTGTCTTTTTATCGTCACTTGCACAAGACACCCCATGAAAAAAATAGATACTAAAACACAAGAGCAAATCATCATATGCAACTACAAACTTTGGAAACAAGAAAACTAGTCTCTTATGCTACCTTAAGCTAACGCAGAGAAACAACTAATCACAAAGAAGTAAACGAATTGGAGAATGCCTCAGAGTTGTTTCTTTTTTCCTAGAGACTTAGCTCTCAAAGTATATTTAACACCATCACAGGCATTTAAAACATTAAACACACAACAATAAAACCAATACGAGAACGCTCATGGAAGACCGTAAGATACTACACGACTAAGGTTATAAGACAAGATACTATGTTCTGTCTCTAATGAATCGTGTTGGCATTTAAATAGAAAAGCTGCTGCGGCGGGGCGAGAATTAGGTCAAAGAGAAGGAATTTTCACTGGGCTGAAAAGAAGATATGAATAACCCATTAGGCAAATTTAAAGGCCCAAATATATTGAGCCGCAACATCTTCCTATTGTACAAAGCTGATATACATGAGTTCTTAGGAGAAAGGTACTACTTGATATATGAGTCTTTTAATACACCATAAAATTTACTAAACTTCTCTCATTATTAGCACTTTGAGAAATACTCTAATTGTGATCCTTTGTATTTATCCTGCAGGAATCAAACTATTGAGGTAAAGGATGATGCATCATTAGCCATGATGATTATCCTCCTTGATACTTTAAAGCTCTCCAGTTGTTGATTGCTAAAGTCTAGAACTGTACATTGTATGATCAGGGTCTGCTAACCAAGTACGGTTTACTGAAGCTCAGTTTATGGAGTGTCACAGAAGACTGCGGTGGAGCTTTGGAGCTTTTCGGAGTATATCATATTTGGGGTTCAATTCTATAAACACGCTATGCTGATGATGGATTCATATTGTGTGCTTTTCAGCTTTTGGGAGAACATCGCTAGACATGGTGCATCTTAGAGCGTACATGTCTATGTTTGTGTCAATGTGTTACAACATGATATTTAGCAGATTTCTATATATTTGTTTGTGTCAGTGTGTGGATTATATAATACAACACTAGTACATAAAAAAAAAGAGTTTAATTTTGATGAGCATCATGTGATGTCTCCAACACAAAAGGCTTGTTTCCACAATCAACGGTAGAGATCAAAAGAAAATGAATTTCCACAATCCGCTCTACTTTAATATCTATATATCTTCTTCCACGATAAATCCTGGAGAGATGAGCACACAGGACTGTTATATAAACTAGACAACGTTGTGCGTGAAGGAACACAGCAGAAACATAACATATTTTGTGTCTTTTTAAGAGAAAGTAGATGGCGAGAAGACAACTCTTTCAACTTCAGATGTTCTTGGTTTTAGCTGCTCTGATATTCTTGAAGCCTGTCCCAGTCATTGCAAGTCTGTAATACTTTTATCTCATTCTCTCTAACTTCCTCATATTTCTTCATCTTGTTTTGTCTCTTTCTTACATTTCTTTCTTATTGCAGGAACTGAGAAACTGATGGACTATGGAACCAAGGGAAACCAACTGAATCAGGTCAGACATCTGGTAAGAGTCCAAATCACACACACACACACACACACACACACACACACAATGTGAGCAAAGATTGAACTTCATTCTGTATTTTGATTCTTGTTTTTATTTGTTTTCATTAGAGACGAAATGAAATGGATCCTAAGATAAGAACAAGGACACGGAAGTTAATGAATGTTGTGGAGATTAACGATTATCCAGGATCAGGTGCTAACAGCCGCCACACTCGACCATACTGTCCCGATTGCTAGTTCCAATTTCTTGTAACTTAGAGCATCTTTAAAACTGTAATTATCACTTTTTTATATGTATGATATCTATAAAGATTTAACATGATGGAACCTTAATCTAAAAGGCTGTGTTCTCAAACTTTATGAAACACTTGTCTAAAAAAGTCAGGTTTTCATTCAATTTAATAAAACAAAACTTAGCTAACGTTAAGTCATCCACTGAAACACACAAAAGGGGTTTTGCTCTGTTTTTTCACCTTTTAAATATGCCCTGTTTTGTTAATTAAGCTATTATGTACTTAATCTTGTCCATGTTTAAATTGTTTCCGTTTTATTGGGTGGAGAGACACTGAGACAGTGGAGGACACACAACAACCACCTCAACCATGATGATATCTTACTATTATAAGACAGATTAAGGAATGAAGCGAGACAACATAAGCTGAACCCATTACAGAAAATGAAACATTATTTCACCAAACAAAAAAAAGTATTTTAAGTTAAGGACAAACGAAATTTTGTTCAACCAAAAAAAGAAAAGAAAAAAGAACAAACGAAACTCCACAATATGATCAACAGATAACATGACAATCATTACATATAAAATGTTTAAGATATCGATCAGTTAGTTATTGTCGGGGGAAGGAGCAAGATCCGGTGCAGGAGAAAGAGCATCAGAGGTACCGTCATCGGCACGCATGAAATCAAATCTTTCGATGAGATCATTATCAACGAGCTCGTTGGCCTCATCGGTGGGGTGATACTCGTCCCAAAGCACATGCTTACTTCTGTCTTTACACAATGTCGACGCAGGGATACATGTAAGCGCCGAGTCTGATTCTGTAGAACTAGCAACACGGCAAATCCGATTTATCGAATCCTGTATATATACACAAAAGACATATAAATTATCTAATTTATGAAAATAAGTTAACATTCATTACAAAAAAAACTACAAATGATGCTTGGAAACTTATTCATTTTGACTTGAAAATGGATTGAACGTTTGCGGCCAAGTATATTTTCTAAAATTTCAATGTTTTTGTTCGTCTGTAATTTTACTTTGCTTAAGCTAGGATTGAAAAAGGGTTCATCTTTACCCACTACAAAATGGTAAAACATGGACACAAGTGTGAGCCCAATGGACCGAAGAAAAAACTTGGGCTCGACGACAATCACATTAATCAGTGGTAATCTTGTAAATAAACGAAAAGTAGATATTGAACCGCTGAAAATTGATGGCCACTTCAGTAAGTTTAACCAAAACAGAGTAAGCAGAGAAAAAGAGAATCTCAACCACACTCTAAAATAAAATAAAAAAGCGAAGTAAAGCGTTAAGTTTCCTTCTCCTTTAATGTACTGAGAAAAAATTACTTGGAAAAACTTTTGAACCCATAAATGTGTGAACCTAAAATCCTACGTACACTTGCCAGTGAAAGAACCTAAAAATCCTACGGAAACTTGCCATGCCCATGATTTGAAAGACACCACAAAGACGACAAAATAGTTACATTACTATCCCACGTGGCCAAAACGCAGCCGTTTCCTCCACAAAATGGGAGCCACAAATAAAAGAAACACCCAACCCCGTAACTCTATCCTCATCTCATCACCACCGTCTATTACTCAATCCAACGGTAAACAAAACTCGGAAATCTCCGACAATATCTAATCCACCAAACTAAACTGAACAAAACTGAGGAAGAGAGCAGAACACAAAAACACTCCAAAGTTTAGTGTTCTCTTAAGCTTCTCAATGGCCACATTTGCACTCAAATCCTTCACCGGACTCCGCCACTCCTCAACAGACCACACAACTCTCCTCTCCCATGCCCCATCGTCCCTCTCCCGCTCCCAACGACGCACCTCTCTCAAAGTAACCGCATCCCGAGCCTCTCCCAAACTCTCCAACCGCAACCTCCGCGTCGCCGTCATCGGCGGAGGCCCAGCAGGAGGAGCCGCCGCGGAGACTCTCGCCCAAGGAGGCATCGAAACAATCCTCATCGAGCGTAAAATGGACAACTGCAAGCCCTGCGGCGGGGCCATACCTCTCTGCATGGTCGGAGAATTCAACTTACCCTTAGACATCATCGACAGGAGAGTCACCAAGATGAAGATGATCTCCCCCTCCAACATCGCCGTTGATATCGGCCGTACGCTTAAGGAGCATGAGTATATAGGGATGGTGAGGAGAGAGGTTCTTGATCAGTATCTGAGAGAGAGAGCTGAGAAGAGTGGAGCTACTGTGATCAACGGTTTGTTCTTGAAGATGGATTTGCCTGAGGATTGGGACTCGCCGTATGTGTTGCATTACACGGAGTATGATGGGAAGACGGGAGCTACGGGACAGAAGAAGACGATGGAGGTTGATGCTGTTATTGGAGCTGATGGAGCTAACTCTAGAGTTGCTAAGTCTATTGGTGCTGGAGATTATGACTATGCCATCGCGTTTCAGGTTAGTGTCTCCTTCCCTTTACATAGTTTGATGAGAATCTTTAGGACTGGGTATATAAACCAAGAACATAACCAGTAAAATTGAATCCAAAACCAAACCAAAGTTCACAATTATCCAATTCTTGTGGTTTCTATATCTCTAGAACCAAAAAATAGTAATCAAATCAAAAGTGAATTGGTAGCCAATTAAATATAATACAATTTCTAAATATTCTTCAAATTATCACTTAGAGGTCTGATTACCCGAAAAAAAAACAAATTACTTGAATAATATATCCAATATATTTTATATTAACCAAACTACCCTTAAAATCTGTTTTTTTCCATAATTATTTGAAATCGGAATCAACCGAACGGAACCAAATTGAACCCAAAAAATTAATTGGCTATCAGCCGGTGCCTAATAATAAAACTGAATCTAAAACCAAACCAAAGTTCACAGTTATCCACACGGTTTCTATGGCCTCGATTGGTACAGCAGGTGATAAAGCAGTAGCAGTATGCTGCAGAAACATTATGCTACAGAAGCTGTATGCTTTCATTAAATTTTTCAATAAAGTGATTGGCAAAGCATTAGCAGTATACAATTTTAAAATTGTTATAATAGTTAGTAAAATAATATATTTCTTTTATAATAATATATATATAATATATATTAATAATATATAATTTTATTAAAAATAATTAATTTTCATTATGTAAATTATATTTAAAAATTATTATTTTTTTAAATATTTTTTTTGGATATAACATATTCCTCATATATAAAATTATAGTTATAATTTAATTAATTATTCTTAAATTATAATTATTATTAAATAAATAAATAATTAATTATAATTTATATATAAATTATTATTATTTATTTATTGGCAGAGCACTAAATTACTCATATATAAAATTATCATAAAAGTTAATATATAATTTATTTATTAGTGTCTAAATAATATGTTTATATCGATAATATATAAATTATATTATGTTATGTTTGTTATTAAAAATAATGAATGATATATGTAATTATATTATATTTTAAATGTGAAATATTGTTCTTTTAAAAATAATTAATTATAATTTTTATTTTTATCTTTTAAATATATAAATTTATATTTAATTATAAAAATATTGTTTATATTTTTAAACAAAAATAAATTAGTTACATATAAATATTATTAAATTTTATATTTTCTATATGCAAATACTCTCTCAAAAGCTCTATATGAGAGCATTGAGCAAAGAGCATTTGGAGAGCATTTGCATTTGGTAAATGCTTTTCTAAATACTTCTTTGCCAAATGTTGATTGGATAATAGAGAGCATAATGCTTATGCTAATGCTCTAACAATCAACCCTCTGAAACCAAAAAACCAAAAAAAAACATAACTAAACCAAAAGTTAATTGGTAGCCAATTATAAATAATACAGTTACTTAATATGGAGTTACTAAATATTCTTCAAAATTGCACTTATAGATCTAATTACCCAAAAAAAATTACTTGAATACGTTATATCCAAAATATCTAATATTAACCGAACTACCCTTAAATTCTGATTCTTCCCATAATTATTTGAAATTGGAATACCAAACCAGAAGCGAATCACATTGAACCTAAAAAATTTATTAGCCATCAGCCGGTGCCTAATAATGTTACCCAAACCACAAAACCAAATCAACTAAACCGAGACTGAAAAATAACCGAACGGTTCTTTTATTTCTAAAACCATAAAACCGAAAAAGATGAACCAGAACAGAAACAGAACTGAATGTCTGAAAAATTTGAAACTTTTCAGGAGAGAATCAGAATCCCTGATGATAAGATGACGTACTACGAGGATCTAGCCGAGATGTACGTCGGAGATGACGTGTCGCCAGACTTTTACGGATGGGTTTTCCCTAAATGCGACCATGTAGCTGTAGGAACAGGAACCGTTACACACAAAGGTGACATCAAGAAGTTCCAGCTCGCGACAAGAAACAGAGCCAAGGACAAGATTCTTGGAGGCAAGATCATCCGCGTGGAGGCTCACCCTATTCCTGAACACCCTCGACCACGCAGGCTCTCGAAACGTGTGGCTCTTGTTGGCGATGCTGCAGGGTACGTTACTAAATGCTCCGGTGAAGGTATCTATTTCGCTGCAAAGAGTGGAAGAATGTGTGCTGAAGCTATTGTTGAAGGTTCACAGAACGGTAATAAAAAAAAAAAACTAAACACAATCTTTTTATCTCTCTCTCTGTGTTTAAGTGTTTTTGTTTGGAACAGGTAAGAAGATGATTGATGAGAGTGACTTGAGGAAGTACTTGGAGAAATGGGACAAGACGTACTTACCTACGTACAGGGTTCTTGATGTGTTGCAGAAAGTGTTTTACAGATCCAATCCAGCTAGAGAAGCGTTTGTGGAGATGTGTGGCGATGAGTATGTTCAGAAGATGACGTTTGATAGTTATCTCTACAAGAGGGTTGCACCTGGTAGTCCTTTGGAGGATTTGAAGTTGGCTGTGAACACCATTGGGAGTGTGTTTAGAGCTAATGCTCTAAGGAGAGAGATTGAGAAGCTAAATGTTTAAGCTATAATGAATGTCTGTCCTTAAAAATATTTTATGTTTTTCGGTTTATTGAATGATTAGTCAAAAAAGTATTTGGTTTTACAATCCAAAAATCCCTTAAATAAAATCAGATTTTTCACAAACCACTAAACTCACTTGTGAAACCACTCAAGAGATACTTCACTTCTTCATCGCTTTCTACACCTTCAATAACTGACTCCTCCGAGCCGCTGCTTGAACAAGAGGGTTTAGATATCTCTGACTTGAGACTTAACTTTTTCTTCATCTTGTGTGTAGCCTTGAAACAAGCTTGTCTTAGCCTCTTTGTCTGAGCTGTAAACTCCAAATCCGGATTCTCTTCAATCCTCTTCCTCTCATTCTCAAGTATCTCTATTGCGTTCTTGAATATTCCTGCATTCTCACCGCTTTCCCTCTTCTGCTGCTTATAATCACATAATTAAAAAAATACTCACATTACTAAAGACACAATTTAATAAAAAGGTGTAATAATGACTTTGTTATAATAATACCTTGACGTTATTAATCAGAGCTAGTAAGCTCATGAGTTTGCGATGAGGCCATCTACGAAAACCAAGTTCACGACATCTTCTTTTCAGAAGAGTTAAGCCTACGTCAAGCTCCATAGCTGCCTGAGTTATTGGCATATAGAAGTAGCCAGAGATGGTTTCCATCGACAATGCCTTTGGACCTGGAGAGGTTGTGTAGGTAGTAGTAATATCACTGATGATTCTCACGTTATGTTCTATGTTGAGTTTCCTCTTCTTAGTACTCTTCTCCAAGTCACCTTCTCCTCTGTTCTGCTCTTCAGAGCTGTATGTATCGAGTACATCTTGAAGACAAAGCAAAACCTATTAGATCTCTATGTGTTAACACATATATAATAGCTATGTTATACCTTGAGACAAGGGTTCAAGGTCAGGTAAAGACAGAGATGGTGTAGGCAAATGAAAAGCTTGAGAAATAAAGTCGTTGTAGAGAGGAAGAAGCTCTTCTTCACATTCAAAAGAGGGAAACGTTAACGGGCTGCAGAAAAATACACATATGAGAGATTATATTACAAGAAAAAAGATAAAATTAAGCTAAACAAGATAGCTTCTGATTAACTGACGTGTGATCATCAAAGGATGGTGGATATGTTAGGAATGAGAAGGGCTTCTCTTCTTTGAGTTTATGATCAACCATTGTAGAGAGAAATTAAGAAAGAAGAGGTTTTTTTTTTTTTTTTTTTTTTGTAGAGAGAAAGAGAGAAGAGGTTCTGTTGTAAAGCTGCATGAGGGAGAAGTGATTTATATACAGAGAGAATGGAGAAGAAAAATGAAGTGATGATGAATCTATTAGAGGACGTGGGGTGACGGCTAATTGATTGCACTGTTAAATTTGGAGTTACGAGATAGATATGATTAATGTTTATTAGTGGTAATTATAGGGGACGTTTAGTTTTGGATTAGACTTCCTTTTCGTGTCTCTCCATGCACATAGTATCATACATGCATGCAATCACTTTTGAGCTTTTAGTAAAAAGTAGCATTACTTTTTAACTATATATATACTATAATACACATATATGTGTACATACACATCAGAGTGATCATGATTGTACATAACTAGTAGCCAATAACTGAATATTATCGATATGTACTAATTACAATCCAAAATGTAACGTATGGATAAAATTTTATTATAGATCATGGCCGCTTTTATATTTCTGTTAATCCTCATTGATTATAAGTTTATTAATAAAGTATAAAAGAGTTTATACTCCACAAAAAAATAACGGTCCGAGACAATCCCTAATATTTCACAACCAATTTTATTGAAAAGTTTGCAACCAATTATGTGTTAATTTTAAGAGAAAAATGTCATTTAAATAATCAAATTTGATGGTTGAAATAAATTATTAATTTTTCCCTAAACAAGAAAAGTACTTCACTTTTACTAAGACATTTTAATTTTAGTTAACCATACCAGTTTAATCCTATTATTAGTCAATAATTATAGTTGACTAATAAAAGTTAACATATGAATAGTTGAATAATTAGTTAGAAAATGCTTATGAACAATTTTTATAATTCTTTACGATCAATTCCAAACTATTTATATAATCCTATTTGGATTATGTTCTATAACTTTAGTGTCAAAGTTTTCGTTAGTAAAATTTTTGATTCCCAAAAAAAAAGAGTTATAGTTGATAGATTCTTTATGTTTCTAATAAAGATTTTCCAAACAAAATCCATCTACTTTCTATAATGTTGTGTTGTGAAATTCCTTTTACATTTAATGCAAAAAGAGTTTTACAAAAAACTGTTTAGATCTAGAATGTTACTATATCAGTGAAATTATGGAAAATCTATCCACCGTTAATTTTAATTGTCTAAAAATTTAATATTTCAGAAAATAAAATTCGAAATTTGACTATAAAATTATGAAACATAATCCAATTAGAACAATATGAATAGTTACAAAAGTTCATAAATCATAAATACTTATAAAATATAATTATTAAGCTATATAATAACTTAACTAACTATTTTAGAATACAAATGAAATTATATAAATTTTATTTTGAAGATAATAGTGAAATATATATTTTATGTATCCAATATTTAATATTAAAATGTATAAAATGTTATTGTTTCTAAATATTTGATTTTAAATTTAACATCCAATTTTTGAAAAAAATATTGGTTTATATTTCTGCAAGAAAAAAACTATCTAACTTAAAAGCCGTTTTAAGGCTATTGTTAGTCAATTTTATAAATCATCATATGATCAAAGTGTTAACGAAAGTTTATGTTTTAAAATGGTTTGTCGTACACAAATTGAATGTTTTTTTGGTTTAAATAAAAATTGGTGCTTTATTTAAGTAAATTTGAAAATTAATGATTTAAATGATATTTTCCCTAGTTAGTTTTAATTTACAACTATTTTGCTAGTAATGCAGAGCAATAACACGAAGTGTTTGTTTTTAACTTTCTAGAAAAGCTTCTTTACTTGCTTTCAAACTAATGATTTTCCAAGCTACCAGTAGGCATATGTATATATATTAGGGGCATGGAGCAATAGAGATTGAAAAAGTTATCAAGACATCTCAACATTCCTGCATTTCTGATCGCAAAAAGTGTGATCTCTAAGAATTTTACTCAATCATATGTTGCTAGGGGTTTCCCCTCATGGCTCTCATCTTTTTTTTTTTTGTTTAAGTTTGGTTGATGGAAACTCTATTTTTGGCATGTCTGATGATTGTGTATGCTTCTTATTGATGTGATGAAGTAGTTTGTAAACTGTTATCATCGGATTTAATGGAAAATTAGTGTTTAGAAAACGGAATCGTCTGCCAAGGAGCTTGTACCCAATCATACACAGGTAAAAGATATTACGTAGAGTTGCCTCGAGAGACGGTCACAACAAAATGATTTAACAGAAGCTTACAAGCAACTCTCTGCTCCCCACTCTTCCCATGATTTTTTACTATATTATCTACTTCCTTTTTTTAATTAAAGAACTGAATTATTTACTTAGTGATGCAAATAATAATGTTAAGGATATTATTATTTAATTAATTTCATACCTTATTATTATTTTCTTAATGTTCTTAAATGATACTTTACTATTTATATAATACTGAGTAGAGTTATGAATACATAAATTAGATAGACAACGATCCCATATATATTATTGTATACGACCAGAATATATAAGTTTAAACTTTGTAAGAGTTAATATGTTATGAAGATTTTTTTTTTAAAAATCATGAGAAAGGTTCAAGCTAAAATTGAAACAGAGCAAAATAAAAATTGGGAATTACTGTAACTTAGTTTTTTTTTTTTTTAACATAAATGCTGTGAAGTTTAATCCTGTGTTTTTAGTATATAAGCTGCTACTAATTATTGGCTATTTGAAACAGATGGATATTATCATTAATTTTAGATATTAAATCTGTATTTTATTCTCACCAACAACATAAATTTAACATTATTTTACAATATACGACCACCTGATCTTTTTCATTCAAAAATACCACTACTAGATACCACCTATGTTACATAGAAACGAAATCGGATACGCGGAAGCGAAATCGTATGGAAGTGTAGAAGCGAGATTTTTTAAAAATTAGAAAACGGAAACGTGTTGGAAGCGTATATTTATATATGTATATATATACACATATTAAAATATAAAAATATATATATGACTAAAAATTATTAGAGTCAAATTTAAAATAAAACATTTATTCATTTATAATAATTTTAAATGATTTTATGTTAAAACCGTGAAAATATACATAAAACAAGTTTATTAGATATTATTATACTAATTTTTTTTTTTCATAAATAATTAACACAATATATTTGAATATATAGGATATATCTTTAATAAATCCTCAATGCATAAAGATAATTTATAATATTAGTTTTAATATTTGTATATTTTTATTCTCTGTTTCACTATTATATAAAAACAAAAATAATGTTTTTCTATTTTTATTTACTTATGACATTGAATCTTTTAAAACGAAAGCCTGATTCCAAAATGGAATCGTAAGCTTGTAATATGTTTTTAAAAATTTTTTTTTGGAAGCGCAATGGAATCGAGATTCCGAGAGATTCCACAAGTTTCCGTTTCTGATTCCGGTTCCGAATCGGGAAACAGACGTATGATGAAACTTCCATGCAACCTATGATACCACTAGTTAAATCCAAATTTTTCAAAAATACCAAAAACTTTATTACAAACAATAACACTATCTCAATTTATGAAAAGTAAAGAAAACTTGTGTTTAATCACATAAGTTTATGGTGGTGTAGTACTATCTTTTATTAGGTTTTATTTTGATGGTATTTTTGAAAAACTGTCCATTGAAATTGTATTTAATGAAATTCCTCACTAAATTTGCGTATGGGCTAGGGCCTTTGTGTAAACAATTTTAACAAGAGTTTTAAGAACTTGAGACAAATATACTACGAAGACAGGAGTAGATATTCTCTCATATGCCATATTTTGATTCCAATCGTTCAACATACATATAATGCAGTTTCAAAATATCTTCTAAGAACAAGTATGTTAGGTGGGAAGGAAAAACCTACAAAAGTAAAATATAAACAAGTGTGACAAAATCGAAATTAGGTTAGACATAATATTTGCAGCTGTTTGTGCTTCTTTTGAGTGCATAGCGTCAAATCACCCCATACTCCCATTCTCATCATAATCCTCTAATCCTTCAAGATATTTATATGAGGAAATGACAATTTCATCGATCCTCTGTCTCAACATAATTAATTACTTTATAGTTTGTGTATATAGCAATATAATAATCAAAGCTAAAAATAATAATAATAATCAAAGATAACAGTTTTGAACTATTATTTTCATCTTTTTAAAACCCATAAAACTCATAATTATGGTTCATAAAACCACTTTCATTGGTGAATTTTGGAAGGATCCTTAACTTTTTTTAAAAAAAATAATAATAATAATAAAATCATATATCCCACTGAATAGTTAAAAATTTTGTCTATTAAAACTCCTATTTAAAAGGTAACTCTTATCACAATCACGAATTTTACTGATAAGTGTCGACCCGCGATTAATTTTTTTTCTTTTTAATCTAAATAAATAAGAATAAAAAATTGAAAAAGAAAAAATTAAGAATTTTTGCTCAAATTCACGAATGGACATGCCCTTATATATTTTTCTTTTCTCAAAAGGTACGTATGCACTCGACCAGATATGTCGCCAACACCAAAACTAGATAGTGGAGACTGGAGACTATTGAATATGTTCTTGGACATTTTGAAATTGAATCGAAGTCATTTTCGGTACTCTCTTTCTTAAATTTCTGGGTATATCAATTTTATCCTCTATAGTGTCCAAATAAGAACTTATTGTTACTTTCTAAGATTCCAGGCTTCTTTTAGCAGTATCTATATATAACATGGAATTGTTAAATCATATGTAAATGTTACAAGCTTCTTTTTTCATCTAAGATATCTAGTTTCTGACATGTTTTAAATTACTAAAGACACAAACCAAAATGAACATAGCTAAGTCTTTGGGTGAACAAACCCTAACAGAATTATAAAAAGAGACAAACAAAGTAACTGAAGAAAGGCAAATGTTTTATATAGGAAACAAGCGAATATTTATGACCGAACCAAAAGTGACGAACTTGAATCATTAAACATCTATAAGGTCATCATCATCTATAGAAAAATGAAAATCCGCGTACTATTATTATTATAGGAATAAAGAACAAGAAGAAAGGAATTATTGGGTAAGTAAGCTTCTAATTAAAGCAGCTTGAGCAGTGTCTGTGTTTGCGAGTAACTCAGATAGTCTCTCGCTTAGATCGTCGACCTCTCTATGCAGATTCCTTATGTAGTTGCACGTTTCTTGTAACACTCTCGATGCTGAAACCTGTCAATATATGTATACAGATCATTATTTTCATGTCATATATTACACATATATGTTACAGCTATAGTTAAAACATATATTTAACATACCTTGTCGGAGCGACGACTGTTCCTGAGCTCAGGAAGAAGCTGCTGCAACTTGATAATGAGATCGTTGATCTGATCTTCTGAGATCCCTGATGATTGTCTCGAACGTGATCTTCTTCCTGACATTTTCTTTTTGTTTAAATATCAATTCGAAAAGTAGTAAGAGTATAGAGATACTGAAGGAAAAGACAATTTATCGATGAAACAGATTATGGAGTTTAGGATCACAGACAAGTTATACAGGAAAAAGAAGAGAGATGAGAGTATGAAAGAAGCAAGTGAAGTGACGGTTGTATTTATGTAGGCTTTTTTATTATTTGTTTATCAAACATATAAACAAATAAAAAATGAGGCCTTTCTTATTTAAATTTGAAATTATATATTGCAAATCTTGTCTTCAGAATATTGAAATATGCACCTCCTGACACCTTTTGTTATAATAGATCGGTTTCAGAGAATCTCATAACTTTAACATATAGATCTAAAGGTTGACATATATAATGATATGTTTAGGGTTGGACAATCAGAGTCTCAATCGAGTTTCAATTCCGGTTCATTTGGGTTTCGTTTTTCAGATTCATTAATTTTAGTTTTATTCATATATTATAAAATTATACATCGGATTCGGTTTGAGTTTAATCAGGTTCAGTTCAGATTTAGTGACATATCTAAGATATGATTAAACCCAAAATAATTTTAATTTTTGGATACTAATCAGATTATTGATTCTAAAAATACTAATTTTTATTTGAGTAAACTTAATATATTTTAATTATTTTAAATAATATGTGTATTTAGCTGTCTCAAACTATATTGTTTTCTTTCAAAATAATTGTGAAATTTTTGTATCACTTTATACGAAACTTTTCATTGAACTATACGTAACAACATTAAACATATTATGATTCATAACAAGCTAAAACCTTGTACTAATGGAAATCATCCATAACAAAACATACAAAATTAAAGTTAAAAACAAAAAAATTCGAAACACTATTTAAACTTTAAAAAACAGTCGTTTAAACTTTTAAACAAATTTATTCATATTATCAAACTTCAAATGGAATGCGAAACATTAAAACATTAGTATTAACTAAATAAAAAAATATATATTAAACTAAATATTTGAGTTAATTATTCATATACTAATTAATTATGTTAGGCACTCAATAATATCTTAGTATATTTTAGATATATATTATAAAGTGAGATTTGATATGGTATAATTTTTTTGGAATTTGAAAGTTTTGCGTTTTTGTATATCCATTTTTGTTCAGATTCGATATGAGTAAACTGATAACTTGAAATATCGTAAAATAAGATTCATCCGGTATTTATGCCAGGTTCAAAACATTTCAAATTCATTATTATTGGGTTGAGATCGATTCGAATTTTTGGATTCTAGCCGTATGTTTAGTCTTATTGTTAATAGATCTATACAAATCATGTTTAAAAAATTAAACCTATATGGTAAAATTTATTGAATGTTCTGAGCTTTGAGTTTGACACTCGCACTCAGGAGCGAACACAAGGTTAACGGCCCCCGTCTGATTTTTAATTTTCTGTAGTAATTAGTATATAATTAAATTAATGTCTCTACTTAGAAGATTATACATATTGTGAAAAGGTTATATGTCGCCACCTAAATGTAGTCCTTCATTCGCCCCTGCTCGCACTACCGTTCATGTGTTGTGGAATTTGTATGTTGATAACTCGTTGAAACGCACAGATCATAGAAGTCATGAGATGAACATGCATATGTTCATAAGATGCAGTGCTACGGTAAAAACCTAAAAACAAAAAAATGTTTCTAAGTGAAGATAAGAAATGGAATTTGTGTGCGCTTATCAAGAGAAAGTATTATACTTTATAACTATAGGAAGGCTATCCATTCCTCGAAACACAACTTCTTTTATAATATTCATAAAATCCACACAGTCGATGCTTAGGTTTTCGCTCTACCACGTCCACACATGTACTTTTAAATTCGATTTATATGGCATTCTGATTGAAATGCGCTCTTGTAACATTCAAATTAAGAATTATTCTGAAAATATATATTTCTCATCTATCGATTGAAATTGAAATGTTGACAGCAAAACTGAAGTATCATATGACACATCTTGAGCTATTTTCTCACTCTACAATACTTTCTTTGTTTGAGTTATTATATTAAATTGTATCAGAAATACAAAATTATTCATACGTACACAAATTAAGTAGATACAAAAGATATCTCATATTAACAAAGGAACTAAAGAGGATTTCGTATTTATATTTTAAATATTATAATATATATCAGCATAATTGTGTTATCTAGTTTTTAGTGAAAACTAAAACTTTAATGGTAAGCAGACTGTACAACAATTTTTTGGACTTTAATTTTGGTAATTTTATACTATAAAAAAAAAGAAAAATTACTATTTAAATAGTAATACATGTTCAGTCAATTGTCTTTCATTTACTATTATCTAAGCTAACATTTTTAGCTCACATATTGGTCGCTCATTTACCATCTAAGCTAACATTTCACATATTGTTGTATGTTGAAGAGAAAAACGCCAATATTTTCTAAAAATGTATATACTGTATTGTTACGACGGGTGTATAAATACGTATAAACGTATGATCTCATGTATACAAATTGGTGTAAGCCTGTAAAGGAAAGAGCCAAAGTATGACTGGTTTGACTGGTCAAAGGGGTTCATACACAAACACACGCCCATGTTATATGATCAAACAACACACACGTGGCGTTTCGGGAGGCGCGTATACACACACCGACCGACGTGAACACTTGCATTCATATGAGCTGATTATTTTTATTTATTTATGCACTAAACACCCAAAACACACGGAAATTGTGTAATTTCCTCTTTGTCACGACATCAGTTCACTGATTAAGAGTCTGATTGGTAAATTTCAGAGTAAATTGGAGTAAATGGAAAAGTGAAAAACAGCTGAAACTGAAAAAGGTAAAATAGTGGAAAGAGAAAGAAAAGTGGAGTAACATTGGTTACGCCAACATAAGCTAGAGTAAATCATAGAGTGCTTTTTTCTTCATTTGTACAGTAATTGGAGTAACTAGCAAATTATAATATTTAACCTTATTGGCAAAATTCCAGCTGAACTTGGAGTAATTTTAAATGTGGAGTAAAATATTACTCTAAAACTACCATTCAGTCACAGCTTAAGCATTTTCCTATTCGTGGTTACATGGTATATATATATTACGTCAGACCAAAAAGTTTACTGACAATTTCATCCCAACTTTGTATATTTTCCTAGAAAGGGTTAACTCTTTGTCTTTCTTTTGTTTTGCCAACTATTCTGTGACACAAGTGTTCCCTTAGTTTGGAACTTGAAATTACAGTTTTAACTAAATACTGTATATGATTTTCAGCTAGAAATAAGCGAGGAACAAAAAAAGGAAATATGTTTCGAAAAGATAAAAGTAAAAACGATTAAAATCTATGTAAACTTGAAGTGTGAGCTGTGGAGAACGAAACAACAAATCTCGGGTTTTGATACATTGGAGAAATATGTGGCAATATACTTTTGATTCATTAGATGCAATTTCCTTGCAATTTGAAAAAGAACCGACGATTTCCGTATGAACTTCTAGAATGACTGAACTGTTCATTTTATCCCCAAAAAAACTTAATTGTATTTTGAAGGAAATGAAAAACTTAATTGTAATGGTGTAGTATGATAAAAAAAAATTGTAATGGTGTAGTAGAACAGACTGAACTTCGTTGTCATTATTAAAACGGTAAATACTGGCGATAAGAAAATATGGTGAGAAGAGGTGAAGATTTAGCGGTTTTAATAAATATGATGTCATTTTACTGTATTACTTTTCTAACAAATGGTTATACATTTTCAATTTTTTTATATCACACATATGAATATGCTACTCTATTATTTCTGTAGATAAGACATTAAAACTAGCATTGCAACAAACCTTAGTTTGAAAACGTTTTCGAAGATCATTTAAATTATACACGTAAAATACGAAAGATAATTAAAAAAATTGGAGACATCTTCTCGATCTTTCATATCAAATCATTGAACAAATATGATATCTCGTGGATAGGATTGAACATGACGAGAGAACTATCAGTATCTAGAGAGAAAAAGTTTGAGTAGAATTCTTGAAATAAATTCTTGATATATATAAAAGGTCAACTTACCTAAACAATCAATTGCAACTTTTCTTGGTTCTTAAAAAGAACTAAAATATTTAGTGGTAACACATTAGAGAGGTAGATCAAATAGTACATTTTATAGTTTATATATTAGAAATAAAAGAGAGCTAGTCAGATGTGTTAATTGAAGGTCAGCGTGTCTCTCGCGGCACATGATCTCTAACTCGACAGCGAAGATTAAGCTTTCTTTCACGAGCATTCCATTCCAAATTTTATTACAATCCTTATATTTTAGTTACAAAATTCACAATCCATTTGTTTTTTCTGAACTCCCTTAGTTTTAATCGCTTTGCTGCTTGTTTCGGTTTATCTGTTCCCTCGTTTCTTATATTTGTTTCTAATTTAGATTAAGAAACTAATGCACCGATCCATTACTAAATTAGGTAACTTATCATTTGATTAATTCATTGACATTTTTTTCTAGCAGGTTTGGTTATATGAATAACAAATATATCTGTGGAGTTCTATGATATAGGAGCTGTTTAAGACATAACTATTTTAGGAAGCCATTAATCAATCAAGGATTGTTGCGATAGACGTAGAACATGCATTTTAAATAACAAATGAATGTTGACAAAAAAAAAATGAATAAAATATAAAAATAATTGTACCAAAGAAATGAATTAAATATTTTTCTTGTTACTAATTTGGAAAATATATGTTACCTATACAAATTATGTAATAGTGTATTAAAATTTTAGAATGAAAATTATGTATACAAAATTAAATAATACTATACGAATAAGATTTTCTTTTGTCAGAAAAATAAGATGTGATCTACATTTAACTCTTAAATCTTAATTATGCTCAGGTGTTGTCTCTCTCCTCTTTGACACCGACCAAAACAAGTTAAATCGTATAGTATTGCTACAAAAACGTGATCCAGCTATGTATATACATTGCTCGTAATCGTATCATAATACGAAATAAATTTATTTTAAAACATAACAATAATCAATAATTACCTTGCAGCATAATTTTACGCTCTTTACTATTTTCCATTAGCTTAATACTAATTTTGGGTCAATAGTATATATT